CTGCGAGTGGCTGATATGCAGAGCCTGTGCGTCTGGACCAGACTGGCTATCTCTGGGATTTGTCCTGTCCTTTCAAACCTGAGAAGATCAGTCGTGAGATGGAATGCTAAATGACACAGAGGCGACCGGGGAGGCTCCTACAGCGCTAAACAGATAAAAAGAATTAAACGGAACTGGTCACAGATGTTCCTATTGCCCTTTTTAATTTCCCAATGCACAGTGCTGGATTCACTGTCAGTGGCATTGAATGTGTTCTCCTGGTATATGGATGAAGAAAAATAAAATAGCTTGCAATATCAATGGTCACAGTCAAAGGGATTATATATATACAGCAGCACAAAGTTAGATATACAGCACAACGTTATATATTTAGTTTTGTTTTGAGATGTTTTGGCACACACACACATGCAGCACAACGTGGTGTATATATACACAACAAATACTATAATAAGAAATTATATATATATTTATATATATAATTTGTCATTAGTATTTGTTGTGTCAATGGGAATTAATTCAGGGTTTTTTGTATTGTTGTCTATTTTAAAAATCACACTGTTCTATTAATTATAATGTCAAAATAATCTGTATTTTAATCGACATCAGTGTGACCGTCCTCTGTCTGGAGATCTAGATATATATCTATGACTTTCAGCAACTATATTTCCCCTGGGGAAGCGAAACAAGACTTGACATTACAGAGGACAATTTCACATTTCATTTCTGTTAGAGTTCACATCTCTCTCTCACGTGTTGACAAGTGGAAGATGTGGATGAGCGGGATTGAGGATGTGTAGGGTGAAAGACGTGTGGGGTTGTTTGCGGTTTGGAGGTGGGAGACTGGGTCAGTATGGGCCTGTGGAGGTGGGAGACATGTTAAAACCCTCGTGCCCCTCACACTCCTCAGCCCCCCTCATTGAAGGCAGTGAGAAATGGCTGCCAGAATATGTATTTAAAACAAACTGCCAGTACTCCTGAGGCCAAGCAGCCCAAAGCTGTTCTGAGTCCAGAGGCATGAGACCCTGACAGACCTGTGAAGTCGAGGTCTGACCTTGGCCCAGTTTCACTCTCTGCACGAGGAAATGACAGAACTCATGGAGCAGGAACATGATGACATTCAGGTAGTGAGTTGAGATAGTGAATATCTTACTGATATTCATGCCTGGACCATCTAGAAATAAATGTATATTTATCTATATTTGTGTTTAGGAATGGAACCACAGAGTCACAAATCAGTCAAATAAAGATGTTGATTATTTACTATTACAACCATCTATTTGTTTATGTGTCTCCACAGCACAAAGTGGTTTGGCAAAAATGTTAATTGTTATGAATCAGAATAAATGATAATTTTAGTAATCATAAAATAATCTAATTTAATTTGTAAAAAAAAAAAAATGTTTGGGGGGGGGGTGGGGGGGTGGGTGGGGGGGTGGTATAAGCTAATTTATAATAAAAAAATAATCATTTAAAATAATTTTTAAAAATGGATATCAATCACCAGTTTTTGTTTTATTTAAAACTGTTTTAGTTATTTTTGTGCCAAAAATCTGATGCATTACACACATTTTAAAAGCCACAAAGTATCCTTCAAATGTATTATGGTAGCCTACTTTTTTTTTAATATCAAACGACACATTTATCTTCGTTCTTGAAACATTTGTAAATCATCTGTTTTTACCTTATATGGTTACACTGCTATTCAAAATTTTGTTTTTGTTTTGCAAAGATTTTAATACTTTTATTTACCACAAATGCATTAAATTGATCAAAAGTGACAGTAAAGACATTTATGTTACAAAAGTTTTCTTTTTCAAATAAATGCTGTTCTTTTGAACTTTCTATTCATCAAAGAATCCTGATTGTAAAAAATCTATCACAGCTTCTACAAAAAATAGTAACGAGCACAACTGTTTCTAACATTGATATTATTAAGAAATGTTTCTTGAGCAGCAAATCATCATATTAGAATGATTTCTGAAGGATCATGTGACACTGAAGACTGGAGTAATGATGCTGAAAATTCAGCTTTGCATCAATAAATTACATTTTTAAATCTTTTCAATTATAAAAGTTATTTTGAATTGTAATAATTTTTTCAAAGTATTACTGTTTTTACAGTATTTTGATCAAATAAAGTCAGCCTTAAAACATTTTTAAAAAATCTTATCCGAACATTGAACAGTATAGGCCTAGTGTATATTTGCAGACAATAAATAAATAAATAATAAAAAACCTTATGGGGAAAAAAATACATCAGGATTTACTTAAACCACTGCAGTATTTTATTGTAAGCAAAACACATGCAACAAAGTAAAATGGGATAATTTGTTAAGGGCTGAATTTAAAATATCAGGCTATGCAAAGATGTGATATTGGGCAAGAAATGTGCAAAATCTAAGTCGTGGATTGAGCTGACTAATGCCAGGCGACACTGGTAATACACACTGTGTATGCATGTTTCCTTTACTGTACTAAAATGGTCACTAAACATAAATTGGAGAACAAGAAAAGCCTTAAAACCCTGTAAAACCTTTATAAAAAATAACACCAAAACAGAGAATCTCACAAAATACATACTGATGTGTATCAATACTGTTCAGTGAGCAATACAACATTTATTGATGATAATCATGTCAATTTTGAGACAAAGTTTGTGGGAATTGTGGCGGAAACCCAAACACAATAGTCTGGCCTCCAATGCTTCATATGGTACATAATCGTGAAGTCTAATAATGCATTTATAGCAGGTGTGGTCAAGTCTATTTCACAAAATATATATACATTTTCACAATGGCAACCATCAGCAAACTAGAATTTGTGTTCTTATGTGTCAAAAGTATGTCATTCAAATAACAGATGTTTGTATTTCCATATGGATTAGCATGATTATCTTCAAACTATATAAAAAAAAGGTGTTTAAGAATGCCTTGAAAATGAGAGCTAAACAAAAGCTAAAAACAAGAAACAAAAGAAAGAAAAAGAATCATCAAAGCCATTATTGAAGGCAAAGGCAATGAAATATCGGTCACATATTTCTGTTTCTTATACATACATAAGCTACTTTCAGTTTTTTTACATTTTTGGTTTTGATAGTGAATAGATATGAACATTCCCAAACATTTCCCCCCCAAAAAATCCATTAAAGATGTGGAGCTTCTTCCTTTTTGGCAATGTTTTTGGTAGAACACGTGTCAGAGACCACAAATCAACGGGCGGTGATATGCTATTGGAAACTGGAGTCATATATACGTGATACATACACATCAGAGCAGAGATGATCGACTGGCTTCACCTCAGGTCAGGATTTTGGAACTTGATCAGAAGCCGCTGAACTGATTTCTGGGTTCGGGGGCAAAAGGGTCCATATAGACTGAATGGTTGTACGGCACTTTACCTGCATCAACACAGCTAAGAGTGACCGTCGAAATGTCCAAATCTTATTAACTTAATGACTTCCCCATTTAAATGGATTCTGATTCAATGTACTGCAAAACAAACTTCATTACCCGGAGCCCTGACAGACAGGGATATATTTTCAACAAAAATTAGTTAACTATTGAATTTTTCAAGATATTTCTTTTTTTAATTAGGCAGAAGCGCTACATCAGTCATGATTTCACAATGCAAACAGTGGCTTCAGCAATACAAATTGGCCAACAGAAATGAGAAAGCATGAGTAATCAGGTAGCGCTGCTACAGAAAACTGAGAAAAGCTCAATATGTTTAAACAGCTATGGGCATGATATTTCATAATCTTTTACATTGTTTACACAACGGATTTTGGTTACCAGCAACACTCAGCTGTAATGTTAAATGTACATAGCTTGTTTCTAAAACTGTACACTCACAGTTGGCTCTCATATTTGAAATTACAGGGAAAACATCAAGACGTCAGGATAGCATTTGTTATGGCATGGCCTTTTGATGAAATCCTCAAGGTTTTAATAAGGAATAATCATTTTAAAAAGGGAGCATACTAAAACTAATAAAATGATAAAGAGCATTAGTGCTTGTTTTTGTCCATGATTCGGGATAGAAAGGGACACCTGTTTGTATAAACCAAACAAATATATTGCTCTTTATGTCAAATTCCTTCACTTAAGGGAGAAAGGGAATAAGGGAGCGTTTGAAAGCAATCTGAAGTGAAAGCGGGGAGGAAATGTCATTATAGACCATAATGACTTGATGCTTCCGCCATTTCCGGAATCAGTTATATTTTCATCGACTCGCGGACGGTGTCCTCAAAAACAAACAGAGTGAGGAAATGACTCCAAATGAAATCTACGACGACAGAGTTGTTTGGACTGCTCTCTACGATAAAAGTAAGCATTTACCTTTATCTAATGGACAGCATTTGATGGTTTTATGGGGAAAACATGATAATCAGCTTTCAACTGGTCAATGGAGTGACCTCCACATTCCTATTTCACGCTTTATACACAGATTTGTAAGAAAAATCTGTTTTCATAGGGCAAAAACTGTCAAAGGAAATACATTAATACAGATGAATTGATATGGAAAAATAAACAACAAAACTAACAAAAACAAATAGTCAATATATCACTATTGAACGAACAAAAGAGGCAATAATAATTGATCGTACCGATAAGGAGAGCTTCCTCCCAAGCACAATATCAAGTGGTATCTGTTATTTTTTTGTTTTAGAAAACAGAGACTGTTGTTTTCTCATTTTTCTTTTTTTTCTTTCTTTTTGCTGAGAGGTAGAATGAAGCATTTAAATTGAAACACAACTGACTGGTTGTTCCATCATAAACAATAGCCTCATAAGACTGAAACAGTCACAGGTTAGTTAGTCGCCCTGTGCCACCTAAAAGACACTGTGAAAACTGTACAAACACATCTTTTTTTTCTTTTCTTTTTTCAAATTTTCAAATTCATAATTGTTTTCTAAAATCTTGTAAAGTATCCCAAATGTTCCATGGTGGTATGGCATGATTGTGTATGACCATGTGGGACGTTAATCCGAAAATCTGCGGAGTGAGAGCAGTCTGAAGATCCCACACGCTTTTGGGGATGGATGGTGCTGATCAGTTGGAAGTGTCGGAATGGACACTCCCGGGTCCTTCCGTGGGCGAGGTCACTGAGGAGGGTGTCGGGGCGTCTTGCCAGCCGCCGTTCGCCTTTCATGAGGAAAAAGCAAAAAGCCAAAATGATGAAGTGTACATTTCAAAACACAACGCTCATCCGAATGCAAAGACGAATCGAAACGAGAGCGACTATAATGAATTCCCTCACTATAAACACAAAGTCACAAAGTGAGGCAGTTAAAAAGGAATGACATTATGCTGCATATTATGAGTCATAGCGAGTCATTTCCAGAACACGATTTTCAAAAGACAGATGATGGAGGAATCAATTATTGCAAATTATCACATTGGCTAAAGGAATGAAAGTATAATGGGCACCTAAAATGGAGGCCATTTCATGTCTGGGAGACAGGTTGCCTAAAGAGCATTTGGGGCATTAATAGCAATTTCCATGCCATCAGAAAAAGGACTAGAAATGGGCTTTGGCAGCCTCTTATTTTCCCAGCCTGTTATTTTAGATAGAGGCAGTCTGTAATCAAAAAAAAAAGAAAGAGCAGAGCGAGGAGAGAAAAAAACTTTTCAAATCTTCAGCTTTGGTGACACCCCATGTCTATTTCAAAGGCGTAATTACAGCGCATGGGCGAGAGGAAAGCTCCCCCACATAAACGCTTTATGTCTTAGGCCGTCATTATTCACAACCGGAAAAAAGGAGAATAACTTATCTGGGTGGAGAAGGAAAAATATCATGTTATTTAAGACAGTGAATTCTGTCTTAAATAAGATTGAGACACTTTCTCTGGCTACATGATCACAGCGTTGCGATGCAAATGTTCTGCTTTTTTTAATACATGGTGTTCATGTATAAAATAAAGTTGATTTAATTACTGATACGAACATGAAATCAATGAAGTTGACATTTATAAATCTGTATTAGAAATGACTGCATCAATTTAATATTTTGACCTTAATACGGGACTTGTGAATTGAGAAATGAAATTTTCCTTGATCTTTTGGAATAAACGAGGTCATTGCACTATACAAATATCCTGTGAGTTTGCCATAGATGGCACAGAAGCGCTGGGTCACTTCCACAGGACACACTCGGCTTTGCTTCAAGCCAGCTATTTAGAGAGACCGTGTTAGTGTGTTTGTCTTTTTTCCCTTTTTTTTCCCCTCCTCACACTTTGCTGGCTCCCTGTCAGTGCTGTTAAGGTGGCAGATGTGTGATATGACCAATGCACTTGGATTGCTGTCCCAAATCTCTACTCAGCCCTCCCTTGAGACTGTCTGATCAATTTCCTCTGCTGGCGACATGGCTTGTCGCTGTGGATTTTACATGCTGGCCTCTGCCGCTTGTGTTCTCGTTCTCTCTCTCTCCCTCTCTCTTAAACACTCCTCCCCCAGTACAAAACTGATGGTTGGAGCTGCTCGTCTCCTCTGGTTAACACAATTCTTTTAATGTGCGCTCAGAGCTGTGGTGGAGGACACAATCGAAAGCTTTCAATGAGTTTGATGGTCAGAAAAGCACCTGCATCTGGGCTTCTTTGATGTTGTTGGTGTTTATGTGGCTGAAGGAGCCATGGTAACGCTGACACTGATCATTTATGATTTACGGTCGCCTTGGTGTGCATATTTGCCACTGGCACCACTTATCAATATGGCAACAGACAAGCTAGAGCAGCTAGAGGTAAGCAGTGTTACCAAAATATTATAATCAAATATAACAATAATGAATGTGAGAGTAGCTATATACTAATACGAATATATTTTAGTCTTGTCAATTGATAAAAAAATAAAAAAAAACTAATAATTTTTCTGTAATTAATTGCGATTAATCGCACCTAACATTCAAATTTTCTATATATTTTTATATTGTAATAATTTCACATTTAATCTCCAAATTGGAACTTTTTATAAAAGAAGGCCAGTATCACTGATGTGTGTATGAAATTGAAAACAAAATTCTCAATTTTAGCCATCAATTGTAGGCATTCAGCATTACAGCATTATTAAAAGCTATCACTTTTTAGATTGATTAGGCTTTAAAAAAAACTTAATTTTAGTGAACTTAAAACAATCTTCACATAAATCCATTATAATAAATGTCACATTTACCTGTGCCCTGACCTGTTTTCATTGTTTTTGACCCATGTAAGCTTGTAAACAGTGCTTTAAGATTTTTAGGTAGGTCTAACAGGTAGGATATATACAGAAAATGTATAAGTTATCAAACACCCCCAGAGTCTTCTCTGCATAAATTATAAATTAATCCTTATTAAAGCTACAAAAGTTCATTCAAGACCAGTGAGTGATTTGCTTTTTCTTTTGTTCTTTGTTTATCCTTAAAGGGATACTCCACCCAAAAATGAAGATTCTGTCATCATTTACTCACCCTCAAGTTGTTGCAAACCATTTCATTCAAGTTCATTTCTTCTGCTGAATACAAAGGAAGATATTTCGAAGAACGATTGGAACCAAACAGTTGTTTGGCACCATTGACTTCCATAGTAGAAAAAAAAAGTCAATGGTGCCAAAGTTCCAATCGTTCTACAAAATATCTTTGTGTTCAGCAGAAGAAAGAAACTCATACAGGTTTGCAACAACTTGAGGGTGAGTAAATGATGACAGAATTTTCCTTTTTGGGTGGAGTATCCCTTTAATGACAAACCGCAGTGGGTTTATTAGGCTGCGGTCACTTTAAGACCTGCCGCACATGACGTGGATCTGACATGCAGCCCATTTTCTCACAACTCTTTACGTTCATTTAACTCATTTAAGACTGTTCTTATGGTAAACATGAATGACTTTCGAGTGATTCATTAAAAAAGTGCGCATTCAATATTCTAAACACAGCTCACATAATGCGCTATAACAGACCTCATTGGTTCTCGCATATGGGTTTTCCAGCCCGTTCTCATCCCAAAGCGTAATATATTGACTCTATTGACAAAGCGTCTATATCCAACGCACATGGCACCCTTTAGCGTCATATGAGACGCAGATATATGGCGCCTCCTAGTGGTCTAACCCTAACACTACCCCAGAACTAAACCTACCCAAAACCGAAGCGTGTTATATTGACGCTAAAGGGTGCCATGTGCGTTGGATATAGACGCTTTGTCAAAAGAGTCAATATATTACGCTTTGGGATGAGAATGCGTTGGGGTTTTCACACGTCACCCTCGCACGCACATAGCCGATACCGATCTGTTCAAAAAATTCTTAATCGGACCCGATAACGATACTTGAGATCGGCTCGGGGCATCCCTAATAATGTTATTAATTAATCGTATTATTAGACAAAATATCATATATACATGTTAATAATAAGAAATGTTTCTTGAGCAGCATATCAGAATGATTTCTGAAGGATCATGTGACACTGAAGACTGGAGTAATGATGTTGAAAATTCAACTTTGCCATCACAGGAATAAATTACTTACAATAAAATATATTTAAAACAGGAAAGTTATTTTAAAATGTAATAATATTTCATAATATTACTGTATTTTTGATCAAATAAAAGTAGCCTCGAGTGAGCATAAGAGACTCATTAAAAAACTTTTTTAAAGAAATAATACATTTTACCATTGCCAATTTTTTTTATATCAAGCTAATGGCACTGGTCTTGAGAATCAGGTACAAGAGCAAAAGAAGAGAAGATCAAATTGAAGAGGCTCAGTATGGACTTACATTGATGCCCTGTGGACTGTATATCTGACTGGCAGCGAGGCTTTCACTGTATCCGCCTGTCTGACTGATAACATGGCGAAGAGTATCCACCTGCAGACAGAAGAACACAACACAAACAAAAGACAGGGTCAGACAATACCTATACAAAACAAAGACGTTTGTGCTGAGAAAAGGTCACCCTGATACAAAAAGGATATTGGCAACCGAAAAGGTCATCAAATGTTGAATGAAATGTTTGTGCTGCAGATATCAAACAAAGGACACAATTTGTTCCAGAACTGATGAGAAAATAAACCCATGTTTACAAAGTAATTGACAAATAATGTGCTTTTAGAGAATTAAATTTGATGCCAAATTCAAACCACAAATATATAAATTATAATTAATATATTTTAAAATAGGGGTGCTGATTTAGGCATTCATTTAATTAGTTATGGAAATAATGTCTTTAACGCACCCACCCAGCCCCAGACCTAGGTTAACATTTCATTCAGGATTGGTGACAAACGTGAACTCATTGTGTGATGCAGTCTATAGAATGCAGATATCAGGGAAAAAAATAGTTTTTGTCTTTTGAAATAGGTTAGTTTTTATCAATAATTAGTTTTTATCATTTGAAATAGGTAAGCAATATCACACGAGTAAGAGTGCAATATCACATGAGTACTGTTTTTGTCTCAAATAGCATGTGAAATTGATTTTATACAACAGTTCAATAAATAAGAAGATAATATTGTGTTATATGTTTATGTTAGACACAATATTGTCTGTTTTGTTTTTGTTTATCTCATATTCGCAAAAGAAAAAAATCCTGTAAAGCCACAGCTAGCCTAAACATTTATGCGCAATATAAACGTCACACATAAACGTTTGTTATAAACATTTATTACCTGTAAATTCTATGTTGAATCAAATCAAATATTTCTTTCTTAAGCTACTTTTTATAATGTTTGATTTGATGTTTTCTCATTTAACACAATAATGACTTTAAATGATCTATTAGGGGTAATTTCTCAGCCAAATTTGACATGCGATTTGAGACATTAATTACTTAGATACAAAATTTGAATAGCTTGACAGCCCTAATTAAATATATATATAATTATACATTTTATATTTTGATCAATTCAATCAAAACACACTAAATAACCTCATGTAAAATCTCTCTCATGTAATTCTTGCAGCACATGAACTCATTTCAGAAGATTTCCTCTGGGATTCCAGCACTGAATATTCATGAAGCACCCCGAGCCTTCGGAGAAGTTGCTTCGTTATGGGTTGAAAATATCACGAACGTCAAAAGGGGACAAACCGAAGCACCCCATGTTTGGATGCTAGCGTGCCGGGCAAGGTCAAGAAGCCACGGTGGCGGACGTGACAGCATGACAGATATGCAATCCCGCTGACAAGAGCTGTATTGTTTCCAAGACTGTCTTTGATGGTCTATTCATTTGGAAGTTGACAATGGCCACGAAGCAGTGTACGACTGCTGGAGGCAAACTGTAACCCCAGTCCGTTCCCAAGGTCAGGAGGACCGTCATGTCAACCACGACTGAGCAGAAATCTACACGCGTCGGACACTAAGATGAGCGGGCTGGAGCTGAGAGATGAACTTTGTTGTGACAAGGATATATAACAAGATGTTGACTATTTTATCAGTTATGACATTCGGTACTAACGAAGAAGGTTCCCCTGAAAATATTGGGTAACACAAAAACAAATGATTCGATTTCAGGAACGGCATGTGCTTGCTTGCAAAAGGGGTTTGGTGAAAAGCAAAGCTTAATTAACCAAAGTACCCCACAAAAAGGCAGAAGCACTTTCCTAAGGTTCCTTTGTTAGAAATTCAATACATATAACAAAAGAATTGGAGTCCTGATGGTTCCAGGCCCACTGGGCAAACCGCAGCCGTGACGTGATTTTGCGAGCTGGGTAATAAGGACCACCATTACGACAGCACAATGTGTGATTGGGTGTAATTGAATGAAATTAGTTACGGTCATCTGCCCTTTCTCTCAGCACTACTCCCTACCTGTGACTGAACGTTGGCCCCCACTTGGGCCCCCTGGTATGAGTCCCCATTCAGAGACTGCACACTCATGAACAAGTCCCCGGAGTTCATATTAAAAGAGCCAGCGGAACCTAAGAAGGAGAGAGGCAGAGAGAGAGAAAGATAGGGATAGATAAAGACAAGAAACAGTCATGCAACAGTAAGACTGAAGTAAGGAGGGTTAGTAGTGCAGAGCTGTTAATTTAAGTGAGGGTTATATGATAAAAAAACCCACACAGGCTTTGTTCCAAATGCCAGATCCAAGCTCAGAATGAGTCGAGAGAAAGTATGATTAATATAAATTTACAATTCATTCAGTATCTAAAAGTACCTAATATTTCTGTTAGCTTAGCAACATGCCAATTAACTCTGTTGGAATCAATTTAGGGCCGGGCAAAAATATTATCACAATATTCTTCCATATTGAATATCAGTATTTATCACAGTATTTATTTCAAACCATTGGGGAAGGAAATGCATTCCAAGTGTTTGTCAGACCTTGAGAATGAATGTAAACATAATTTGTTTTGTTCATAAACTACACAGAGTAAGCTATAGCTATTCATTTAAAATATCAGTGTGCATCTCATGTGCCTGAGTATGTGTAGTAGATGAAATTGTGCCACTCATTCACACAAACACACAGAATACCAAGTCTTTTTGGCGATACTCACCTGATCTTCTAGATGTTGGCTAAATATAGAAAATTACTCAATGTTTTTATCATCACCAGTGATATTGTGGATTTATTGTATTTATTTATTTATATTGATAAATGACTATATTGATTTATCGCACAGCCCTAAATCAATTGTCTAGTCCAGTCTCCAGTCCGCTTCAAATAAGCACTATTGTTTTTTTATGCTAAATAAAATACTAAATCAGGTTCCTTTTTAATTGGGATGCTGTCTATATACAGTAGAAAGTAGTCAGCAAGGAAGCTCATTAGGTTTTGGAACAGTCCTGCTGAACCTGCCTAAGGTTGTTTACTGTTCTCAGCCTGGTCATGCTGGTCTTTAGCTGGTTGGCCAATACCCAAATCCCTCTAAAACCATCAAAACATTATGACAATAGACATTTCACAGAAATTTTGCTAATGTGACAGCACCTTTACCTTAGCACAAAAAAAGCTATTAAAGTGTTTCAAGAACAACAATGGGTGAAGAAGGGATTATTAATACTACTACAGTGATATATCTAAATGGACAGTACAGTTACTGTACACGGCCACAGCCCAGTCATTCAGGATGTGCTAATTGAGTCACACAAGGAATCAAAGAATGCTATTCGTCTTTTAATGGAGGAGACAACGCAAGATGCCCTAGATGTTTAAGAGAGAGAGAGCAGGGCTTAACTTAATTTCCGCTTTAAAAGCCACAAGGCACTAATCAAATGTACATGGACCTCTAATTACTTCAAGGCTATATGACAAAAGGCTTGACCATCTCTTCATAATGACATCCTGGAGGTCAACCAGACAACAGTGGCCGAGCCGACTGATACCTTAAGTGCACTCGTTCCAGAATCCAGATAAAGCAAAATATCATTTTAGGCAAATAACTGTGAAGTCCAACTGGCGATTTTTTTTTTTTTTAAAGTAGAGAAATAGTAAGCAGAGATTAGTAGAAGATGAATTTTTGGTTTTGAAAAGCGAGAGTTTTGTATGAGCTGTGCTGCAGGTCAAGTTGCTGATGTAGATAAAGAAAAGGAGGATTTGGATCTCCTTCAGAGAGGCATTATTATAGGAAGTGTATTGAAGGTAGGCAATTGTGGAATATCCAAACCATTATCAAGGTGAACTTCTTTTTTGCCAGTAGGTGACATTAAAGTTGGTATTTCTGCACCACATTCGAAAAACCTGTTGAAGACCAATGAAAAACAAGCACATCTGTTGTTTGTGTGTGGATTTACTGCAGTACTCACCAGCTGAATTTGGTGTGGAAGGCGAGTTGGCTTGGCTGCCGTGGGTGGAGACGTTGGTTGCGGTAGCGGCGGTTCTGGCAGCGTACATGTTGGCTTCTTCTTGGAATTTTCCAATATTTTTCTTGTATCTGATTCTCTTATTTCCAAACCAGTTAGATACCTGACAAAACAATACCTAATGGTTAAATCAGAATTCAACTTCAATGTTAGTTGAGAGCAACTACAAATGTCTAAGAATTCAATGTATTCTGTGTCACTGTATGAGGTGAAGTTTGGGGAGTCTCACCTGTGAGACTGTAATGGAGCATTTCTTTGCCAGCTCCTCCTTGGCCTCTTCGCTGGGGTACGGGTTGCTTAGGTGGGAGTAGAAGTATTCGTTCAGGATCTCTGTGGCCTGCTTATTGAAGTTTCTCCTTTTTCGTCTTATGGGAAATGACAGAACAGAAAGAAAGAGAGAGAGAGAAAGCGAGAAGGAGAAAGAGAGAATGAGAAAGGGAAAGAGCAAAGCCAGCATGATTCAAAGCTAGTGTTTAGAAAGTCCTTCACATTTGAACCTGCTGTGTGAGATACTCATAAAAATTGATTTGTGATATTTTATATCTCATAAAATGTGTGAGATACTTCCACCCACACACACACGTATACACTCATACAGACCTGGCGTCGAGGAAGCGGGAGCGCAGGATCATGACCGCCTCGCAGGTGCTCTGCTTGAGCTGCATCTGGATGGAGCTGAACTTGCGATGGATGATGTTCACCATGCGCTCGATCTCTTTGGGGGAGATGGGCCGAGTGCGAGACTGCTCCCTCAGCAGGTTCATCACATGGGTGGTGAACTCATTACACGCCTGAACATGCACAGAAGGGCGGCACAAGGATCAGTCTCTGTGCATGTAGCATAACTACAGGAGCTGCTCTCCTGGACAAATATCATATCCTGAGAAGAGTATGTGTCCTTTTTGTTCTTTTCTTTTTTTTGGGGTGTGCTAAGGCCTACAGCATTTTGTTTTTGAAACATTTGAATTTACATAGGTCTGATTTAGGAGACTTTGTTTTACTCCAGACTCTGTTCTCTCACCTGCTCATACTTCTCCAATTCTGTGTGGTAGATCTGACGGATCTGGGTCAGCTTGGCCCGGTAGTCTGAGTGTTCGGCCGAGTTATCGGACCCGGCACCACCTGTTGCAGCAGCGGCGGCGGCAGCGGCAGCCGACCCGCCTCCTTTCTCGGGACCGGACACGCCCTCGGCTAGCAGCATGTTGTCCAATCGCATGAGTTGAGCATCTGGTGGCTCCTCCTCCTGAGCTCCACGGATACTGAGTACTGTCAAGAACGAGAGAGATGATTAAAAACTTGAGTCATTTTTGTAGGCTCAACTGCTAAAAACAGCCTTAAGTCGTCATCAAAGAAATCCTGAAAGCCTCTTACTGGACAATCTTCTGATATATTATCCTGTTTATGACCATGTAGAGGTCATTTCTGATTAACTTAGTTAAGCTAAGATTTGCAATTTCTCAATACAACACAAGCAGATCTTAATATTATTGATCTGCCTGCATTTGACACCATTGTATGAGAATTGAACTGAGCTGGACGATGACATCACTGTTTTCTCCAGAGCTGCTGTTTAGGTAAATGTACTAAATTAATAACTAATGATTTTTACAATGGAAATGAATCAACGCTGAACTTACTGAAGCTGGACAATGACACGACTTTCTTTTAGAGCTGCTGTACAGCCAAAACAATCTTTGTTGCAGTTGCAGCTAGTTTGAAACAATCTGTATTGTAAAAAGTGCTATATAAATAAAGGTGGCTTGACTTGACTCAAAAACGAGAAGCACATACATATGTAATGTATAGATTTTTTCACAATTGCTAAGACACATTTCTTGAAACCTTCACCTTCACCCATTTTAAACACAAAACCAAATCTTCAAACTACATTCACAAAACTCTTCGGGCAAAACCAAACATTCATCTCAAAACCATTTCACCTGCACTCAAAATCAAACAATACTTTCAGATCATATACACACCAGTTAATATATTAACACTACAGGTCATTCATTAGAGACTACATGAAACACGGAGAATACAGCATCCAGAGCACGAGGTTCCATATACAGTAAACTAAATCTGCAATTACGTAAAAAAGTACAGAAATTCCAACTAAGGTGAATAAATAGTTTCCTGTATGTACTGCAAGTGTAGCATTGTATTGAATATTGTAAACGACTGAATGTCTGTATATTCAGCACTTGCATACGGTGAAAATACAGTAGTTGAAATGCAAATGGCCAAAAGGTCAAAGAAAACTCTAAATGAAAAGCATACACTCTATGTACAGTGTGGTGCAACTGCAAAATCAATGTTAATGAGAGATTCATTGTGCCTCAGCATTATGTCTTCATGTTCTGTCCAGCCTGAGGACTTTGTCCACATTAAACCTCGTTTAAGTTTTACGGAAATAATGATTTATTCGACAAATGAGTCGAGGCCTTGGTTCAGAGAATGGCGTTTAGTGTCTTAGCAATTGTGAAAAACTTTAATATGAGTGATCTCCATAAAGGTCAAGTTAAAGTAAATGTCTGCAATAAAATCAACATAATAACATCTCATTGTCTCCTTATGAGCTTTCATGGAGCTTGAGAAATGATATATGGCCTTCATTTTAATTGCTCTCTTCTTTGTGATAAAAAAATGTGGAACTATACACTGATCTTGGCAGGGCATGAGATAATAAAACCATCATTTCATTGATTTGCACTATAATTTAGAATAAATTATTATATCAGAGCTCATTTTTGGTTCTTGATCTTGTGATATTAACCCAGTGAGGAGTAAAAGCATTAAATTATTATTATTAAAAGCATTACACTAAATTATTACTAAGATTATTACCCACCACACTGCTGCGTTTTTTCTTTATTTTCATATAACTGTCAAGTTCTCTGGAAATCTTTTCTTTTTCCGACTTAAGTCAATATACAATTAATCTCCACTCTTTGAATCTCTCTGATTTTAGTGATGCACATGTACGGTATCACTGTTTATTTTGGCTGTGTTACAAAGGTACATGAATGAACATCTACATTACTACAACGTTTAACTCCAGTGTGGGTCCAATTATTCCAAAGACTTTAATCACCTGATTTAAATGTAAAATATGGTACAAATTATTTGGTAAAATATGTTAAACAGAGCAAGGAGTAAGACCTTATTGGTCGCAGAAAGTATTATCAAATTAGCAAGAAACAAACATGCAAACAGTGGAGGAATTTTAAGATCCTGTATGGGTCTGGTTATTACTAAACAAAGATTTTATAAGGACTCTCAGAGGAGTTTTTGCTGTGTTTGTGCGCTGATATTAGACCATGATAAACTGTTGTATCTTTGTGTGCCACTAGATGTCTCTCCTTCTGTTCTGTTCAGGGGCGGCAGACCGACAGCAGACAGAACCTGCCCCAGCCATTGATTCAACAAAGAAAACCTGAGACGGCACACAAATCCTGATTTACAAACAATCTCACAAACAACCATTCACACATTTCACAAGAAGAACAGCTTGACGATAAAGATCCACAGCGGTAAACAATGTTAAATGTAAATAAAACCAATACTCCTTATATAAAGCAACAGTTCTGTCTTGGTTACAGTAACAGTGGACGTCAAGTGGTGACCAAACACAGTATCAACATTGGTTATTTTAAGCAATTGCTTATTTGATCTTTCTTAAAATTACATTTATATATACATATGTACACTACTGTTCAAAAGTTAGAGCTCAAATAGAGGTTTCTTTTAGGAAACAAAAAAAAATTTATAATTCTATTCTAAAAGGGTGCATTAACTTGATAAAAAATGTCACAAAGGATTTCAATTTGCTGTTCTTTTGAACTTTCAATTCATCAAAGAATCCTGAAAAAGTATACCAGTTTCCACAAACAATGTAGAAACAATATTTTTAAAGTTATTTTAAATTGTATTAATATTTCTATTTCACAATATTACACTTTTTACTGAAGATTTTGGCCAATACCTTTAACCGATAATGCTTTATTTTTGAAAGCTGATAATCAATATATTGGCCGATAAATCAAAATCCAAATTTGTATATACTTTTTGAGAGCCTGATTACAAAAAGAAAAGTCTCACTATTAAAAGCCATGTCCCAAGCACACAATTATAATGTTCTCATTACAATTTTATGTAGCCTATGATAGCACATGTTGCACTAAACTATATTTCATATTTCAAGCAATTCAAAACCATCATGGCGAACAGTGCGCATCTGAAGTGTTTCAGCTGAAGGAAATAATCCATTATTTTTTTAATATATCGGCCAAATTTTCTTAACCCGGCCGATAACGATAACATTAAAAATGAACATACAGTATATCGTCCGATACTGATATAGTGGCCGATATATCGTGCATCCCTAGTTTTTACTGTATTTTTGATCAAATACATACAGTCTTTGAACAAAAAATAAATAACCTAGTGACCAAAAAAGAGATTGTGTGTAAATACATATAACATTCAAAACAAAAGATATAGGAAGCATTTCCCCTCCAACTATATTGAATTGTATGATTTGTTTTTTTATTTGCATTAAGCATTGTTTTTCTATGTATTTATGAGTTCACACTTACATACAGTGCTGGTCAGAATTATTTGCCCCCTTGGTAAATATGATCAAAGATGGCTGTAAAAAATAAATCTGCATTGTTAATCCTTTTGATATTTTATTAAAAAAATTAAAACATTGATTTCATGATGAGATCCCCCCCCCCCCCCACTTTCAATTCTTTTCCTTCAAAAAAAGGTTCGATTTTTGTATTTAAAAAAAATATATATATCAAAAGGATAAACAATGCAGATTTATTTTTTTACAGCCATCTTTGATCCTATTTACCAAGGGGGCAAATAATTCTGACCAGCACTGCATATTCAGATATAGTATAAAATATGCGTATTTGGCGTGCTGTCCGAGGAAAGTGCTCCATGTTTGGAATTTGGCCCGAACCCAGAGCAAACCTGCAAAAACAACTAATGTCTGTACTCTGTTGCTGTTGCAATGTGCTGCAGTAGAGCCAATGCAAACGGTCCTGTGACATCATTCTGAAGATGGCAGCGGAGGGCTATCTGTTTCCACAACCCGAACCCAATAAGTCCAGCCTCTTCCAATCAGCTCACTCCCACTGCAAATGTCAGGGGCCGTCAGAGGTCAAGAGGTCAGGGCACGGGTTGAGCGAGGTCAGGTTTCTCCAGAGAACGCTGGCAGTACAGCAAACATCCTGCTTCTTTAGCGCGTCCTTCAGCGACACTTGTACAGTGTGTGTTTCTTTAAGTGATTATTTTTCTTGAACTCTTCGCTTCAACTCTTCAGCCTGTTTTCAAGCGATCTTGCTCTGCTTTTCAAATAACCATGTCTGTCCAATTTCAGGCTCGTCTCAACTGTCTGCCCACCCAACTATTTCACAGCGAATAAAAAAAAAACACAAGTGTATATCAATAGCTCAAAACCAGAGAGAAAGAGCAAGTCTTTTATGCCTTTATAATAGAAAGAGACAGCAACAGTGGAACGTGACTGGTGTACGGCATCGACTAAAGAAACCCAGGCCCAGAAGTGTGCAACGTTCATCTGGAGAGGAAATCTAATGAGGCAAATAATGATTTATTCATTCCAACCATATCCTCCAGTGCACAATTAAATGCATGAAATATATTAAATAAATACAATGAATGCGGATAATCATACAATTCACTTTGCTGTTGCTTAATTACCCCAAACCGATGCAATACACTTTATTTATTTTGATTCAGTAATGGCATGGCAATCGATTAGGCCGTAATGCTGCCGGCCCTGCGTGCGTGTGTGTGTGTGTGTGTTTGTGTGTGGTCCGTGCCCAATGCGCTGCTGATGTGAACTGAGCTGAACTCAACCACCCGCAGACAAACATTAGCAGTTTTCTGAGGAGCAGATCATTCTCTCTTTCTTTCTCTCTCTGTAGGGGAAGATGGAGTAAGACGACCCCCTTAAGAACTACAGCTACGTACACACTGACGTTCTGCCGTCTCGAGTGTTTGGTATCCGCTATTCTGACCAAATAAATATTACAGCGACAAAAGACTCGTTATGTTCAGCAATTATAACTATGGCACAGTCGACGGAGGCGTCGTGTTTTGCTTATACTTTGAAAGGCTGCTTCACAGAGCGCTCTCTTGCAGTGTTGCCATGTCCACTCATTATAAGCGTTTTCGGGCTTTTATTTTTTTTTAAGTTGCCAGCCACCGCCAGCATTTTTGATCATTTTCAC